TCACTAGATTACTGTCAGCTAAGCCTGCTTAAATGTCTGTCCCGCCTACTAAAAGCTGAAGGGGGTAATTAACTACCGTGCATGCTCGGCTGACAGCAATTTAGCATGAACCCCCAGGGAGTTAGGTTGATCTAGATGAATCGATCTAAATCTATGGGAATGCACTCTAAGTCTCAGCCACTGAAGCAGCAGCTATTTCTCTTGGCAGTCTGAGGATCTACTTTAATTGCCATCCCCATGTAAACTCTTTACTTAAGATCGATCTGAAGGAGATCAACATCAACCTGTTTTGATGATATCAGTGATATGATAGAAAACATTAACGATAGATATTTGCCCTACTTTGGCATTGCCAGTCAATACAAGAGTGTTTATCTTATTTCTTGCCTCAGAATACCTATTTATTAGAGTAAAACTTTTAGGGCACATTCAGATTCACATGTACTATAGTTGGGTTGTTTCAACTCTGCAGGAGATTCTCACCTAAGTACAATCAATGGAATCAGCTTTATCTTGAGGAGGCATATCGTACAATTAAGCTGATTCCACTGATTGTGCTTCAGCAAAAATCCCCCTCAAAGTTAGACCGACTCAGCTAGTGCGATATTTGAAACTGAATGCAGTCCTAGTATTTTTTATGTAAGTTGGCCAATATGTTTTAAAGTTAGTTTGATTAGCAGTGCTGTATTTATATTTAAAGGAGGCTTGTAAAATATCCCAACTCATCCACAATATTTGTCACAGGGTATGAAGTACCTCCCTGTACTTAGCCATTAATGTTACTCTTCTTATCTGTTCTGGCAGTAGCTGCAGATGTTTTAATGTAGATATTTTGTAAAATAGTATTTCATAGATGATCATTTTTTGTTGATATTTCTGATGGAACTTGGGGTCATTATTGCACCCTTGATGATGATTATGTGCAGTGCCGTCTGCCTCTGACATTGTAATATCTGTCCCTAGACTGTAATAATGGCTGTAGATCTAAACAGGTGTGAATGCTCGGTTAATAACAGCAGGTAACTAATGCTTCATATTGAATCACAATATGATAACACAGCATAAGTTGCCACATTGTCTTTCATCAGGGTGAAAGTTGCCATTTTGCCTGTCCTTATGTATGGCCTATAGAACATGATGATGTCAGCACAGATGGTTTGAGGACATAGTTTTTGGGTACTTCTGTGCTAATTATAGTGTCTCAGAAAATTGAGATTATGACACCTTAAAGAGTTTCGGATATCTGTGTGACCTTTGGTTTTATGACGTTTCTGAAAGTACGTATAAAGTGCTTTTGTAGATAGGTCAGAGTTATACAGGGTAGCCGTTTTTTTCTTCTCCCCTTTTTTTTTTTTTTTTTTTTTTTTTGATGGTTCTTCACTAATGGCTTCAAGTTGAGCACATAGAATTTGGAAGTACAGAATTACACTTTACAGTGCTCTTAAACTGTTAACAGGTACAAACAAGTATGGAGTGTTGACTTGGAGTAAATGTTTGATCATCTCCAATATTTGTTACGTGTTCATCTAAGCAGCACAAAATAATTATTCATACTGAATCGTATACCATCTTATCAATCAATGGGGGCCTTGTAAGTAGGTGGTCTCTTTATAAAAGACTCCTTTAAACCTGTGTACTATGATCAGAATGAATTGGGCATTGATCTGATGAGACAGTGTTAACGTCGACATACAACATACCTTATTGGCCACTTACAGTATATTAGAAAGTATTCTAAGCTTAGCTCTGGCATCTATTTCAGTTGTGGAGAAAAAATTGGAAAGGTAAGCTGAACTGTTCCAGTCTTCCTGGCAATTGCAGTGTGTGTCATTAATGTTCAAGAATCTCTTTTTTAAGCCACTAATTCACCAACATTTTATTCTGTGCTTTCTATCCTGCGGCAGTAGTTGTGCTCACATGAGTGTCACTGGTAATCTTTGTTTTAGAGCTGATTCATTTCAGAATCATAATTTCAGTCTTGGCTGATTTAGTTGGGAATCATTGCATGTCATATTGTATGACTTCCCCAATAAGGAGTAATGGCAGGTTGCTTAACTACAGAATTTGAAGAGATGTCAATAGATAATGGTCTATATATAAAGAAATGTAACATCTGTCTGGATAACATACTTGTGATATGAAATGGTAGGTTTTTACTCATGGAAAGCATCTCTCTCTCTCTCTCTTCGGAGGACTCAAAATGCATAGATCTATAGAGGTCTAACATCTTATTATTCAGGATAAAAGAATAATACTTTTAATAATTGGAATAAAACATAGAACACATATAAGCGTAGAGTTGGCAACTCTGTTCTCCACACCCCCTCTCTCTCTCTCTCTCTCTCTCTCTCTCTCTCTCTCTCTCTCTCTCTCTCTCGTCTCTTTGCTAGTGCACATAAATACAATTTGTGTTGTGGTAATATGGGTCATGCAGTCCCATGTGAATGGGGTACATGTCAACACTGAAATGCTCATCTGTCATATATTAATGGGTGTACGTGTAATATGGGAAGATTGGCAATATTGTTTATTACAAATGTAACGGAAATTAAAATATATTAAAACACATGTACAGACCAAATAAACGAAGTATCTAACTAAATTAATTCCCTATATTAGTGCACACACATTTGAAAAACCTTGTACATTGTAAGATAATGTTGTTTTTACATTACACATTATGCAAACATATGATCTTACCATATAACTAAGGCCACTATCAAGTGGAAGCAATTATTTCTTATCTAAAACTCATGTCCTTATATTGGATGAAACCACAGGTAATTCCATATGAGTGAGCTGTATGTGTATTCTCTAGAACTGTGGGGAATGTGTTGTGGTTTGTTGTGGTTTGGACAAGGGAGAAGGATTCTAATCAGTATATTCTAGGTCCATGCTGACTTATAGCAAAGCAAGAGGTATGTAGAAAATAGAAAATGGCATGACACAATTGGATTAAGCAGTTGTGAATCTTGCTATCAATCACCACTGTTTCAATGTTGATTGTGTTCATTTATTGTGTAGAGAAGTCATGCAATCACTTGAAAATTTTAAAAATCTATCGCTGGACTTTGCATTAAGACTGGGTTCCCATGCCTAGATTGTTCTAACAGGCTCGATCCATCTCCAAGGGGTTTCTCGCTAAGTTGCTTTCAGCTTAAGCGGCTTAGATGTCTGGCACACCTACTGAAGTTGCTAAACAATAACTAATTATCCCTTAGCAGTAGGCGTGGCAAACAACTAGGCCACTTAAGATGATAGCAATTTAGCAGGAATCCCAGTTGAGATAGATCGACCCAAAGTTAGTATGATTGGGGCTGGAAATGGGCCCTAAGTCTAGTTGACGACTTTGTATCTTCCTCTCAGAGTCTTCAGCCAGTCTAGGGTCTTATAAACGAAATTGCCGAATTAATGACTTGAACAGCAATTAAATATACAAACTTTAAAATACTTATAACAGGCGTCACAATGTACATGGCAGTCTGGTAGTCCACGTACCATGCTGCACATTCTGTATGTGCTCTAGAGATTAAAGAAATATGTAAGTTTTGATTAATTTTGAAACTTTTTCGTAATTTAAGTTAATTTGTTAATTTAATTATTACCTCCATCCTGATGGTCAGCTAGTGCAGTTCCTTATCTGTTCTGCCATATTGAAAATAGTTTGGGAATAACCTGTATCTTAACAATTAGAGATCTGGATAAAAGATGGCCAAATCTTAAGTGATACATATTGTTCATGTTCAGGAAAAGTATTTTTACACCATGAAATCGCGGTTCAAATCGCAATCGCTATCACCAACCTGTTGCTCAAGATCACAAACAGAAATTGTTTATGAAGCCTCAGTCCACTAAGAATAAAGGTGGAACTTATAGATTTCAGAAACATATTTCAATCAAAATGTGTCTAGGGTCTGTATCTCTGCCTACTTTGCTATTTTGTGCAGAAGAGTATTCAAGCTAATAATGCTGTTTTCTATGCAGCGTGACATGGTAAATGTAGCATATGATTATAGATTGAGTCACAACATATACCTGCATCTCAATTTATCTCTGTCCAAGTCTCTGAGTATTAGGAGTAAATTTTCAAAAGATAGATAGGTCCACCATTTGTTTTGTTTTTAAGTTATAATTTCATAACTTCTGACATATTGTGGTGCCATATAAATCTTCACTGTTGATTTGTTTTAAAATATTTCAAAGATAAATAGACAATTAGCTGGGTTAAATCAGCTTCTAGGAAGCTATGTTAAGTATCAGGGTTATCATTGCCTAGCAGGCTTAAATAGGAGTCTCAGGGGGAAAGTCATTTAGCAATCATCTGCAATGGGGCAGATCTCATTAAATGCTTCTTAAGCTTCCTGCCAGGGTGGAACAAGGATTTTGACATATTTCTGACACTTGGAAGAGAAATCTGTAGCAGGTCCGGGAAATTTTGATTCTTTTGATTACCATACATATAAACTATATGTAAAAGGTGAGAGTGGGAAGACGAATATTTGGTTTTGAATATTTTAAAACTTTGTAAATGACAGACATGAAAATTTAATTTAAAGACGCACTGCACCTGCTGATGCACTGCCCCCCCCCCCCCCGACACCCTTTACAGAAATAAGTAATATGTCAGGCAAAGAATTTTTGATGAAATAAAAGTGAAATTAATTAATTTTATATAAAATCTTGTCATTGCTACAGTCCAGAAGGGAAATAAAAGTCTAAAATTAGGGTTTAGTGTCCGTAATAAAAAAGAGATAACGAATGCTGAGAGCTGGCCAATGCTTTGCCATACCTGGGCATGCATATTTGCTATTATCTCAGAAGGATAAATGTGCTGAGGCCCCATCAGAGTCCCACAGGTGTGTTAACAGTTGGTGGAGGAGTATATTACTAGACAAACAAATCTGCTATTCAGGTGCCTGGAGTGAAACACAACCTGTAGGAACACCAAGGTGCTCTACTGTATATAAGACACTATTAAATAAGTACAGATGTTCACAAATTATGTCCACAGCCGTATATTACTGTGGGCTTTCAATACCTGTCTGTATATTTGGCACACCAAGGTGAGACCTCATTACAGTATGTTTTCACATAGGCTGTATGTATTGCGCTGTACGTAGAACATTTTTGGATTCAGAGAGCGAGGGTGAGAGAATAACATAATGTGTTTACTTTTGTTTGGTTGTATAGTATGAGCAGAACAATGCATGTCCTTGACTTGACATGGGACGACATGGTATAGCAGCAGGGGTCATTTGAAGAAGGCAGAGACAGAGCAGACTTAACCAGGAGGAACTCTTCTGGTTTATAACTCAAAGGTAGTGAAGGTATTTATTAGGATAGGTTTATAAAAATATTTAATTGAGTAAATTAGCATTAACTTTGTATTAAATAGTGTCCTATTTGGATCTTAACATTGATCTGTTCAAAGCAATCTTAAATCACAATGATACACTGTACTGGTCTGTATTCTAAACTAATTGGCATCCACATCAAAGAAATATAGGGTTTACTAGGATGTAGTTGCTTGGGCATAAATATTTACATTTTCCAATAGTCAGTAGAGAGTTCAGTGCAGGTAGAATTAATTCAGATTCAGATTCATTCTCCTCTCAACCAGTTAAGGCTTATATGTATTGTGAAATTTTGCCCTATTGATCAAGGAAGGTTTCGTGCCATAACAACTGTATTCCCAAGGCCCTTCATTTGTTTGTTTCTGAGATATTGATAATGCTATCCTCCAGTTAGTACAGGACTGAGGCCAGTGGGATTTGACGTGTTCTTATCATCAACATTGCATGCGGTTTTATTCTGGGTATGTGACATTTTTGGCTGCTCAGCTTCAATTTGACAAATTGATTTCCTTAATTATTTATGGTGGATAGTCAGTTAATTGGCATTTCTGCTGTTAACTTGTGGCATAAGTTTGATTTTTCATCGAGCTAATAATATTTTGTTATCACAGAGCATTTACATGGTATTTCCATTGCTGGGTCTTGCTTATGTGACATCTCTGTGAGAGAAGTTCTGGATGAAAGGTTTGGATGTGTGTGTTTGCTCTTCTATGTAATTGAGGAAGATAATCTAATGCATGCAATTCTTTTTGGAGAATCATCCCAACTTAGAGCATCAATCAGGAAAATTCTAGGCTGTCTGTGTATTGATGTGTGGTGTTTACAATTTCAACACTGTTTCTCATTGTGTAGTCAGATGAGACAAGCATGATTTTTTCTGTCTAAAATGTTTTATCATATGCAGGTATTTTCTGATCATAAGATTTTTTCACTTAAATCATAAGATTTTTTCACTGAAACAAGCATAAAATCCTGATCTAACAAAACTTGAAATTTGAAATTACTCATTTGAAAGAAGAAGGAGAAGATGATAAAACAGAAGGCTTAAATACCTGCTTTGCTTTCCCACAGGTAAAAAGATTCGAAAGAAAATTCAGGCTTTATGTAGTTTCTTTTGTTTATTCTTACCTAGATGAAATATGTATATACCTGTAGACACTTATCCAAGTTGACAGATAAATCCAAACAGATTTATACAAAAATGACATCAATGTTTCTCTCCTCAATTGAAAGCTTGCACACAAGGCAAGGATTAAGAATAGGGTATATTTCATATTTTATATGGGCTTAGTTCATCTAGGTGCACACTAATGATACATAAGTTTAAGACATGTCACTAACTATGGTTTAAGAAAAAAATGTGTGCAATTAAGATTTTATTATTTTGATCAAATAATTTTTATATTTTATTGGACTTCAATTGACACTTTAAGATATTTGATGTATTGAATAAGAAAAAAAGGGGTTAAATCATATGTTTCTAAGCCAGCAGTTATTAGGATAGATTTTTGCATGTGTGGTCAGATAAAGCTGATATTATTGCAAGGGAACAGATGATATCTCTTGCTCAGTCCTTTTAAATAAAATTAATCCAAAAATCTGTACAGCTCTCTACATCTGAGACAACACTTGAAAAGATACAAGGTAGGATGGCAGGTGCTATATGGGATGCATACCTGCTGGATTGCAATTAGCACAGTATTTGTTATTTTGAGACCAGTTCAGGTTTACTCTGTCTGAATCCTATGTGCATACAGTCTATGGCTTTGTTCACTGCAAGGCCAATATTTAGCTGTGGATTAGTTGGAAGGTGCATTTGCAGTCTGGATGGGATGACCTGACTTACTTTCTTTAATTAATGTGCATGCAGTCTTTGCTTAGGTTCAAAGTCAGACTGATCTGATTATAATTTAGTCTAAAGACACACTTTCATTCCACTTGTGACAGCTTAACTTTTTTTTTTTACCTACTAATGAAATTTGTGCATTCTGGTTCTATATATAGATTCCAGTATGATCTGATGACAAACCTTTGACTAGTTCCAGTCATGATTTGCCAGATTAATTGGAAATGCAGCCACTTTCTCCTTGTGTGAAACATAACGTAGTTCTACTGACAAAATGATAAATTTTTACCAAAAAAAAAAAAAAAAAATACAGTTGAGGTGATTGTACAGTGCACTTTTTTTAAAGTAACCATTGTCATGAGGGCATTTGTAAGCCAGCTCTTGCAAAGCACATTGAACTGTTTCACAGACAAGTAGTAAAGTGGGTCTGTACTAGGAAGAAAGGTATCAATGACTGATTGGAAATGATATTATAGTATGTGGGTGCCTTCATATTTATAATGGCATAGTGGATTGAAAATCTATTCCTGTTTACAAAGAGACAGTGTGTCTGAACAGTATGTACATCCTGGTATTTTATATTCTTCATCGACAACTTCCATAATGGATGGAAAAGCCCACTCTATTGCAGACTACGGCAGTCTTTTTCAGCAGAAAATCCATCAATTTCCAGCATTAATGTGTATGAATAAGCATAGAAATTACCCTTTTCACGGAACCACTCCCTATTAACTGAAGTTATCAGCCTGACAAAAAGGCATCATCATCATTATTATCATTACAGGTAGGAACATAATAAAAACGGAGTGAAAGCTACTTTGTTCAGATTGAGATTCTGATTGCATGAGGGTAGAATGTGAATCCTTGTTGTGTTCTGTTTTCTCTTACTTCTTCATGTCTTATGCACAGTACATCAAAACAAATTATGAAATACTAATTAAGCAGACTGTGATTGAAATGTGTTTATTATTGAGGCACAAAGCAAATAATTTAGGCTCGGCTTCAATCTATCCACGAGGCAGGCTAAAAGCAGGGCTAAATATTGTGGATTGATTAATCAGAGAATTGAATATTTTATATTATTTTAAAGATTATATACTGTTCTTAATGTACTATTTAAAAAATTCTCATCTGTTCAGGTAAGAATTCATTTTACCATGTTTATATGTGAATGTTATCATCTCATGCCCATCCCACTAGCTGATACACGCAGAGGGCATTTTTATCCATTTAAGAATGACCAATAACTACTTAAACATGTACTTTTTTGTGAACTTTTTTGTCTCAGTTCATTGAAATTTTTCTGAATGTTCTGTAAGGGATAGGTGTTGTCCTCTTCCGGCTGACATGACAGTTTCACTTTTCCCACAGTATAAGATATTGGAGCACTGAAGCAGATATATATGATCCTGAATAGGATCATAGAATACTTTTGCTCTAGGAATGTTTTGTCCAGATTCTCCAAATGATAAGTGAACTCTGTTTCTGTTTAGGACCTAATTTTGTTATGTAAATGTGTACGTGTGTGTGTGTGTGTGTGTGTGTGTGTGTGTGTATGTGCACGTCAAAGCCTTTCAGCGGCAGCCAGGATTTTTTACCAAAATTCTTGTATTTAACACATTTTCCCAGGTAAATGGCAGTTTCCCCTGACTTACCAATCTATAATACTCCTTTTCTGATTAAAATGCACATTGCCTCGTTCATGCCATTGACTCGACTTAAGGATATAGCGAAGTTTTTTTTCAAACTTTGTCAAAATTCCTGACTACCGAGGTTGAACAGGGGACAGTGAATATGATTATATTTTGCAATATTAGTTGAGGCCATTTATCTGTCAATTTATGTTTTAAAAGTTTTAATTGTCCTCAAGAAACGCTTCATATTCTTAGAATGTGTTTAGAATCCTGGCTTGGATCACCTTAAGTTCTGACACTCCAGGTGTGGTGAACTGCACATTCAATGGGTGACCTTGAGACTTATTTTCTAAGGATTCATAACTGATTGAAAGTCTCAATGAAAGAATCATGAACAATGCAGAGACAATATTTGTAGTCTTTTAAACAATACTAAACACCATGAATGTTTAGAATAAGCATGGATAGGAAACTGATTAATTGCTCACATGTGTAAGTTGATTTTTTGATGTGTTCTAGATTTTCTGTATTTAAATTATGCAATATACCACACCATACAAGTACTGGTGACTCATTTTTTTATAACATACACATATTCCCCACAGATCATGAATCCATGTAGAAAATTTATTTGTATTATGTCATTAATCATCTAGAGTTTCTTGGATATTGTATCTGGCTGTTCCATTTATAGTTCAGTGGTTTAATTGGAGCTCTTCTCCAAGTCTACAGTGACCATCAGCAATTATTCTTTGTCTAACTACATTGCTGTTTTCTCCACCTCCAGTGAGTTTTTATGTCATAATAGTCATTCTGCCAAACAAGTTTATAAGCTGTGTTTTTCGAACATAATGTAACTTTTTCATATATCATTGTAGCAATAAATCTAAGACATATTCCCTACATTACAAACTTATTTAGATGTCAAGGTCTTAGTTTGATCAAGTCCAGGTGAAATATTTGATGGTATAACTTACTTATCATTAATAGCTATTGATAAAGGATAAATTAACATGAAAATGTTTTACAGTATCCTGCCACTCCATTTATCTAATTAAGATTGTATAGTTTGCATTATTACAAGTGTTGTCCAACATTATGCCATACAAAATGCGTTAAATTCAGAATTAATGATAGTATCATACCTGCCACATTAGTACATGGCCGTATGTACGAGTTGGGGGGGGCTGGTTGAAAGAACCATTCCTTTGATAGGTAAATCTCTGCTCTAAATTCACTTTTTTTCCAGGTTTTATGCATTGTAGAATGTATTACAGAGAATTGTCCCATGAGAAAAGTTACATGTCTCAACTTTACTTTGAAAGCTCCCTGTGTAAATTAAATAAGTGCTAAATGCAGCTTGTGCAGTTTCACCACAAATGCTTGCATGAGTACACAGTTTAAAGACATGTAGAAGGTTGGAAAAATCAACAATTTCTTGAGTCACACATAGGCTTGTAGAAATGCAGTGGGAATGCTTGTGTGGCCCATACAGTATTTTCTTTGGAAATTCAATAAAAGTTATTGGATTTTGGTGGTCTTCCATGTGCCTTGCATTGTAATTTTATCAATTTGTACCTTAAAATACATCAGTTATACATCACGGTGTCAAGTAAAATAGTTCTATGAAATCCAAGTCAGTTGTCACCAAAAGATAAACAGTTGTTGCGGATGTACATGTACTTAGTTTTCATAAGGCTAAAACTACAGTGAAATATGAGATTTTGACACTGTTTTCCCATTTTATTTAAAATGCAGTTTTTATCTAGAACCTTTGTATTTAATGCACAATCAATTTACACAGTGGATTTTTGATAATATTAATATCCTACTTGATTATAATTATCAGCATACACGTATGGGAGGTTATTGTTTTTCATTGTCATGGTTTTGCCTTAAACAGACATTTTTCATACCCATTAATTGTAAGATACTTCACCTTGAAGGTACTCTGCACAGGATTTTGAGGAAAAATTAATTTTCCTGCCAGGGTAAAGTGCATCTTTCTTTAACTCATAATTATACCTATCCTTGCCTTTGGGTTCAATGTCTTATTCCATTTTTGATTGATAATTTAGATGTTAATGACTGTCATTTAGAATGCCATTTGCCTTCCCTGACATTTACCGAGCATGGCCTAGTTTTCACTTCACAACACAAGGAAATGGCGCCATGTTTTGTATTGCACCCCCGTGTCAAGTATAATACAGATGTTGTGAGGTACGATGGCTACCTGACAAGGCTGAGAAGATGACACTAGTTACGCTTCAGATAAATTGTTATTTAAAGGGTTTTATCATCTTTAAGGTCTGAATCGGGGAAATAAAAAAGGCTTTGCAGGATATTAATAAGACTGTGGGGAGTTTCAAACATCTGGAGAATCCCTTGAAGCTTTTTAATTAGAATGCCACATCACTGAATTACATTTTATGAAAAAAAAAACTTTATTGCACAGAAAATCAACCAGTAAAGGCATCTTACCTTATTCACCTGACTACATGTACCCCATACTTTAACAAGATTTATCAATTCTTTCGATACCAATATAGCCAAATTGATAGAATGATTTTAACAAACCTTTTTTGAAAAATTCGTTCAGCATTTTTCATCAAGTTTGAATAGATTTATTTTGAAAAAAAAAAAGATGTGAAAATACAGTATTCCCTGAAAGATGTGACAATAAGATGGCAAAAAATAAATAAATAAATAAATAAATAAATAAATAAATAAATAAATAAATAAATAAAAGAAAAATTTTAAAATTAAAAAAAAAACAAAAACAGTCAGGCACTGGATGCAGAGTGCATTTAAAAATCTAAAATCTGATAAATTTAAAATTCATCTTGGCAAATATGAAAAATGTAAAATGGTACCAAAGAGTTTGAAAATACATGGATGTGACAACCACAGAAAGAGTGTGTAAATACTAATTAAGATATGATCAGGTACTAGCATACATATGTGCATGATCTACTCAGTAAAGCACTTTGGTTTCATTATCGGAGACAGGTGAAAATATGATCTATTTGTTACATCTGATATTTACTTTCACGGCAAAACTGATAGTTCTTCTAATTATCTCGGAACATTTATGGAAAAGACAATTTTGAACCTAAAGCCTGTTCATTGCCCATGTAGGTTTGATCATAGGACTGAAGAGCTAGATGGGCCATTCACTGAGACTGAATGTGTATAATGTTTCTATGGAATCTGCAATTGACATCCTTTATAGCTTTCTGTAGGTTTCCAACTGGTGGTTTGTATGTGCTCACAAATGTTTCCTGAGGGGTGTTATTATTGAGTTAAGAGGATATATGACTGAGTGATTTTGCATTGTTCAGCCACTGATCAGTCTTGCCACCAGCAGATCGTCACCAAATCATCTATTGCCAATTTCCAGTATGCCATAAGAATTGGCTTTTGAGCATATTGGCTTGATGAACTAAGCATTTAAGGTACATTTTAGGACAGTGACTCAAGGTGGTTTTTAGACTACTGGTACATGCATATTCAGGAGTGGTTGGGGAGGTTTGATTTTTCCAAACAATCTATTGCCAATTTCCTATGCCATAGGAATCGGCTTGTGAGCATATTGGTCTGATGAACTAAGCATTTAAGGCACATTTCAGGACAGTGACTAAAAGCAGTTTGTGGACTATATTCAGGGGTGATTGGAGAGGTTTGGTTTTTAAATCAAAGATATAATTAAACTACCCATAAGTGAGTGAATATTATTTATGACATATTGCAATTTGCCAAATTAAAAAAAAAATAGTTTTTTTGAATCCAAATCCATTAGTAGGGTTCCTTGGAGTATCCATTGCCAATGTTCAGGGGCCTGCTTTTACATTAGCTTATGTATAACCTATGTGGTCACAGTTGAACTGCTGCTGTTGCTGCCCCAAAGCAATGATCCTTTCTGTGTTTCAAAGTTATGAACTGCTTTTTAGTGAAAGTTTGTTTTGCTTGGTGGTGCATGATTTAAATGCTCCATTAACATTATATTCCAGTGGCATGCTTTTTCAGGTTTTTTTCTTTTTTATTTTTTTCTGTAAAGATGTACAGTAATAACTCAAGCTTTTCAATGGGGAAAATTGTAAATTTTACAGATGCTGTCATTTTTTTAAAGGGATAATAACTCTTCATATGAGATCTATATTTCACAATAAAAACATTGTGAATAACTCATAGAAATATAATATATTCCATTTTACCACAAAAACAGCAGTTATAGCTATTATTCTGATATCTGAGCTTGTCTTTAGACCATGTGACCTCCATTGATGGATATACTCTGTTAAAATCTCTTAAGAGATTTTAACAAAAAACCAAACTTTTTAGAAAAAAACCAGGGACTAACTTTGAATGTAAAAATGGATTCATTTACCATTGGTAAGTATGAGAAAATTGTTGTTTACTCCAGGAAAATTCATTTTTTGGCCGAAACGAAGAGTTATTATCACTTTAAGTAACTAGTTCTTAGAATTATAAGATTTCCATCGAATGATAACAAAAAAAAATAGATCGGTTCTATACAGTGAAAGGACCAATATCAAAATATGATTTTTATGATTCAAAAATTTGCTGTGTTTTTGAAGGATTGTTAATTTTTCCCCATTGAAAAGATCAAGTCATTTATTTCTCTTAAAAATTTTTAGCAACAGATTATGTTCTGTCAACAAGGTAACGTATATATATATATATATATATATTTACAGAAGATGACATACGTTTTACAAAAAGCTACTAATCTTTGTATCAACTCAAATTATTTTTTATTCATAGAGGTAGAATGCATGTGTGCTATATTTGCTAATTCAAAGTATGAGTCAATACCAGTGCAAGATTACATGAAACCATGTTTACTTAGCTTCAGTACTGTGTGTCCTGTTATCATGTAAAGCTGATAATAATTGGAAGTTGATTGATTTATTTTATGACAGTAATGGTCATTACTGATGCCTATCCCACGGAAGACTACACTAAGATTAATCAGCCAACAGTTGATTATACATCTTTCAACTATTCACTTGAACATATTTTAAGTAGTAAAGATACATTGTTAGAAAATAGGTGGAAGCATTTGATGTAGTTACTATCAAATCAAAATATTTTAGGTTTTATTTCAGCGGCCATCTTCTGTCTTTGTATGTAATATATAGGGCTGTTGTATAGCTGCTGATTTGTCATTTATTGTGATCAATTATGAAAATGCAATGACACAGCTAATCATTTGTGTGACGATTTAAAAAAATTATTAAATTATTAGTAAATACTGAGGTAATCTATCCATAAGCATGTTAGCATTGAATTTCAAATAACACATAATGGTGCTTTCTATCCTTGCTGTTGAATGGAAGTCGCCTTCAAATTGACGTGAAGTGGATTTCCCACCTTAAATTCAATACCCAGGGAATCAATTTCTGAAGTTACAGGAATGGTTAGAGACGTGTCTTGACTATTAGGACTGGTTCTGAGAGTTGTTCATATTTTGTACAAATGGTCCGTGGCCTCTGAAATTGTGTAGAAGTGGACTGTTTGTATAATTGATACCATACATATTTCATGGTATTGCTTTATTACTGTGGCCTAGAGTTTATATTCATGCATTGTACTTGCTGTTATCGTATGACATTTGATGTCAAATATGCTTGTTTCATTTCAGGTAGTGCTTGTTACATGAGGTGTGCAGTCAATCTGGAGGCTGCAAAGATTTACCAGTGACTAGGGTGTCATAGCAACTTGAACTTACAGAAGTATTATATATAATTATATACCATGGGGAAAACAAACAGCAAACTGAAACCGGAGGTTCTTGAAGACCTCAGACAAAACACAGCATTTACAGATGAAGAAATTCAGGAATGGTACAAGGGATTTTTGAAGGACTGCCCAAGTGGACATCTTTCTGTGGAAGAATTCAAAAAAATCTATGGAAATTTTTTCCCATATGGAGATGCTTCGAAATTTGCAGAGCACGTGTTCCGCACCTTTGACCAGAATGGTGACGGTACTATAGATTTCCGTGAGTTTATTTGTGCACTAAGTGTGACCTCCCGAGGGAAATTAGAACAGAAGTTAAAGTGGGCTTTCAGCATGTATGATCTGGATGGAAATGGTTTTATTTCAAGGCAGGAAATGCTGGAAATTGTGACTGTAAGTATATGTATTGGCAGTTAATTCATTCCTGAACCTCTATGCTATTCCAAACAATCAGACCGTAACTTCCCTTTGGGTATTATCATCAGTTCCTGTCTAGTTATTTTTCTGGAAACCATATGCCTTTTTAAGTTTCTTAACTGCCAAAGAGAATCAATGGTACATATTGGCATTTTTTTCAAAACTGCATGCCTGATGTTTGGTATTACTTTGTCTACATCAGATAAAAACTACCTATCTGATGACGGCTGACTTCACCTCTTATTTTTAAAGATGCTCATGCAATTGAGTCTTATTATTTCATTGGCTAGTATATACATGTTCCATATTATTTTGAGTGTTCAGGAGGGGGGGAAGCAAAACATGTCTTCTTATAACTATCAACATTGGGCTGTTAACAAATTGTTATTAACACTTAACCCATGCCAATGGAAATTGAATCATCTGTGTTCTGGCTTGGATTAAAAGTCCTTTATAAAGTTATTTAGCTTCGCAGGATATGTAGTTAGAAAAATATGGCTTTGGGGCAGTTTTAAATGCATACACTTAAAAGAAAAAAGCAATTTTTCAATATCAATAAATAGGATTTAAACTGAATATCTTATTTTCTGGGAATCTTCACCTGGTAATGGATTTTTTTGTATATTTCTACCAAAAGTTGAATTTTTCATTTCATTTTTTTATTGTCATTACAGGCGATCTACAAAATGGTAGGTACAGTAATGAAAATGCCAGAGGATGAATCAACACCTGAGAAAAGAACAGATAAAATTTTCCGACAGATGGACAAGAATCTAGATGGCTATTTGTCCTTGGAAGAGTTTATAGAGGGTGCAAAGAGTGATCCATCAATTGTCCGTCTGCTTCAATGTGATCCTTCAGGAGGACAGAGCTGAAACTAGGAACTCTAGACTCTGGGACACCTTCATTGACATCTGAATAGCTGCATTTACAAACGTCATTCATCAAGCAGATGTCAAACAGAGGAAATAGCACAATTTGATGGAATCGATATAAGACAGCACAAAGTGAAATACAATAGCAAGAGAAAACAAATCAAGAGAAAAATTGAATGAAATGGGTTACCACTGGTTACAATTTGTTTTGTGTGGTTGCTCTGCATTCAATATTTACCCGGAGGTTTTGAGTAGAATCTAAAACAAGGAATTGCCCTGCCCTGAACCATTTTTTACCATTGCGCATGCACATTGTGTGGAGCAACTTAATTTTAAGTGATGCTTGGCACCACAGAGAGCATCTGATTGATCGATGCTAGCCAGAAGATTAACATGGATATTAGTAAAGACTCGTTAATGGCCCATTCGACCTTATTTCACTTATCTACATGAACATCGGTATTGAGACTTGAAGCTTGTAGAAAAAGATAGAAAGGAAGTGAGCAACATGTAGAGGCAATTACTTCAGTGATCTGGTTAAATCAGTTGATAATGGATTATTTTTCCATGTTTCACATTGAGTCCAGAATGGCCAGATCACAGGGACACCATTCACCATGTGCTGTTTAATTTTCAGCAGCAGAAGCATGGTTGTGTGAAGGAATGTGTAAAGAAACCACTTTTTTCTGTTATTCCTTTTGAACCAAAAATGAACGAAAGAATTCACCATCTATAGAGGAGTTATGATATTTACACATGTTTATATATCTAGTATATTATCTAAAAGATGCATACAAATCCAACTGGTCCCCCTCCAGCCAGTCCATTTCCATGCATGTTTGTCATGTCTTTTGGTTGTTTTCTTACCTCTATTTAACAGGCCTGTAGCCAGCAGTTTCATAGGGGAGGGGTTCTTTTTTAATAAAGACAGACTTTTTAACCCTGTTAGTTGACTGACCTTGAGAAACATCATAGAAACTAGCTGAAATATCAAAGAAACTAATTCAAATTTTGATTCAGAGTGGACTTTTCCAGCCAAAAGGACTGTCAGTCCTTTTCAACCCCCAAACCCCCTGCCTATGGGCCTGATTTATAATCCACCATTCCATTCTGCACTCTGCTGGACGATATGCTAGATTGACCACAAACTCTGTGCTTTGATGCTGTTTGATAGATGCTTGTTGTATAGGAGTGGCTTGTTTGTTTGAATTTGCATATGTGCTATTTTTACATACCTTATTCAGGATTTGTATTCATGATTGATCAGTTTGTAAAGGAAAATAACTGCCATCTCAGTTTTTTTTTTTTTTTTGTATTTTTAGTACTGTTTTCCCAAGATGGTGTTGTTATTATCTCTAATGTAGATCATTAGCTATTTAATTATTATCTACAATTGCTTGATGTTTGTGCCGAGCTGTTTACATTGTACTGTAGAAAAATACATAGATAAGGTAATTTATGACAATTTTCAAAGACTGTATGTACCCATTTCAAACATTGTATTATTTAAGATTAAAATGTTTTAGTCACTCACCCTCTAACTTAAACTCATCTTGCTGTGGATAACTTTCTAATTAAAATCTTGGAAAGTGTGGACAAAATACTATTTTTTGAAATATAAATAAATTATTGTTCTTATTTGAGGAGAAATTACCATAGTTGCTTGGCATTGTTAGGGTAGAAGCACCTGTTTGGCTTGTTTCTGCATCCATGTGGGGTTAGTTTATTCTTGTGTGCTGCCATTTTTGCATCTTTTTCTGAACCATAGGTGCGTGAAAGTTAAATTTACACCAAATTTTGAATTAAAAAATCATGCCTACATTATATGCTCTCTAAGATAATACCTCAAACATTATTATGAACAGTTAGATATTATCATAGAGTTTCCTCAGAGTTCATGGATATCCCTGATATTTATATGTTTTGGCTCATTTATATTCAGTATTGTCCACATCAATAGCCAGTATAATTGTGGACTAAAAATAAGTCCCAAGTGCCCAGACATTCATACATACATACATAGTCACCAAAAAAAAAAAAGATTCCATGTTATGATTTTTTTTAGAGCAAGTATGATATCACTGCTGTTATAAATACACAAATACTGGTCATTAATTATGTTGTCATAATCTTTCTTTTTCTAGTTTTCTTTAATTGAATTTGGTATTACCACTTGTCCCCATAAATATGACTTTTATTTACTTATTAAATTGCCAAGAATTGGACTCCTTAGGAATATTTGCTAGGTATTTAACATATTGCTTATGAAAATCAAGATTAAGATGGATATTTGGTATGTGTATAATGAATGTATCTATTTGTCACTGCTTTGTATGGTTAACATTATACAAGTTAGGAGAAATCATAAATAAACTAAAAGTCAACAAAGAAAAAAAACTTGGAAAGTTGTGTGGACAATTTTATATATTATGCTAGGTTTCTAGTTGCTTTCTATTAATACCTATTAAGAACTATTACTTTTGACTCAGTTTCAAAGATTGAAATTTAAAAGAATTATTCTTCTCTCTAGGATAAATTGTAAGGGGGGATCAAAGGTACAAACAGCCAGAATACTTGTCTCCAGAAATGATAGACTAAAGGGTTTTCAAGTCTTTTCTTGAACTTGGTTTGATCATTACATGTATTTATATATTTGCCAGTCAAATTGAAGTACATGTCTTAACAGGAGTTGTGATTTCACACATGAAGGTGGTCAGCTGCATGGTACAGGAAAGCTCCTGGAGTACAGGTGATTCAAAACAATAAATAACTTAAAATAACTTATATACATATACATCTTTAAAAAAAAAAAATTTTTTTCAAAGAAAAAGATATGAGATTTTGTAAAAGTAGTCTCCAGAACTTATTTTACAGGACCTTTTATTTTCTTATTTGATAATACAGTTACTGATGATGTATTTTGAAACAGCTGCCATCATTATCATAATTTCACACAAAAATGAATAATCCCTTGATTACTAGACTGTCAGTTTGTCACTAAAGTTAGCGTGAAAGCAACAACTGTACATACATTTGCTGCTGTATAGACTTGATAAAAGTACCACTCAGAGATGTGCATTAGTTCATGCTAGGTTATGGCTTGTCCTTATTACAGTTGCTTCACATTTGCAATGTATAGTCTTAGTACAGAAGATCAATATCTATTATTCCAAAGATAATAGGGTTTTATGGCAGTTTTTGTTAAATACATACCAAGCAAGTGACACTCAAGGACCAGACAGCAGTGTAGTTGTACTGTGAATTATCAGTTTGGTTTTGTTATCTGTGCAAATGTGATATATTGTTAGCACATGGAACACTTATTTCAGGTTCTCAACCTTTCAGTGCACTGGATGAGGTGTTTGATCCTTCAGAAAGCATGGTTTGTTCTTGTCCTGTTTTTTTCCTCATGTGACACCAAAGAAAAATAAATGAAATGTGAAGATATAATGGATTTTTTTTTATTTTGCTGACAACAGACTGGAAGAAAAATGTTAAGCTTTCGTAAAGCAATTTTTTTCCTTTTTTTTTTGCTGTTCTCTTTTAATGAAGCTCTTTTATATAGCACAAATATTCATTACCTGAAAATTTCTGCAATTTTCACCCCTCTCACAAAGATACACCTATCCAATACGAGGGTAACTCAAAAATTAAAACTAAAACTAAAAAACATTATTTTGCACACTGCTTTGGATTCTGTAATGTTATCAAGGGGAAAAAATAGCTGAAATTTCCAGGAAAATGAAATTTTTTCTATAGGAAGGTCTATGTCTCATTGTGTGACTTGGATGCATATGCTGGGTAATATCACAGCAACTCCCAGCAATGGGGACACCACAAACAGAAAGGTGCCAACGTATTTAAATCAACTTCTTGCCGTATAATTATCAAAATATTTAGAAACCTGGATAAAAAGCAATTTATAACATATTACATGTATCAAAATTAACTTAGCACCCACAAGCACTATACTATGTGTACACAGAGAGAGAAATACAATCACTTCTGTGTCTCAGTCTTCTTGCATAAAATGTGGACTCTTTATGTGAAACCATTTCAACAACAGCAATAAAAAACACTCATAATGAAATTGTCAACTTTTATTTGATATATATATTAGAAAATATATACCTGCATTTTAAGAATTTGATCATTCTTTTCCTGCATTTTACTTATTAACCTATTAATAACTTAATCAATTAAACAGTTCTATCATTTACTAAGTGATATCTGGATAGATATATGATCCCAATTGCAAGTTATTTTTCACATACCAAAATTAAATATATGCCTGGTCCAATGTATATTATAATTATACAGAGAGCACCATATTAGCTACATGCACCCTGAAGCCTTGCTCAACTCTTCAATTCTTATATCAATGAGGAAATATCTTCCTTTCATCATTTAACATAACTGCTCATAAAGCTCAACATTTTTAAAAAGGCACTCAATCAAAATATTAAATAAAATAAAAAACAATCACAGTAATACTATGTTAAACTAATTGAAACTGTGGTGGCATTTGGTTGGGTTTGGGTTTAGTGACAATATTTAACATATCTACTTGCTAAATGTGCATCTTTTAAAATACAATTTTAAATAATTCAATAAAATTGCACATTCTTCAGTGTCAAGTTAAATGCTTTTGCAATATCCCTGTGAAACACAATAAGATAATTGTTGTCCAGAAATACAATGCTGGGTTAGAAAATGTGTTATCTCTTTGAAAAAAGATTTATCTGTCACCTGCCTACTTGATGTTTGCAGTTTTTTTTTCATCTATTATTAAAATAATACATGTTATGGATTCTGCTACAATTTGATCTTTCCACATCTCTGAAATTTAGATTATATTTGCTCTTTCAACCACTGTGTACTTTCCTGGAAGACAAGCCCCAGTGTTGTAAATTTGGAATTCCCCCCAGGTAGACAAAACTTGTCCAATATTTTCTTACATTACCCTTCTGGTATGTAATTGTGCCCATCCTGATTGAAACTATAAGTGTTGATATTGCACAGAGGCTACAACACAGGGGAGAAGGTCATACAATCATACAAAGAGACTAGTGTCCTTTATTGTGACATTTTTTTTTCAATTTTGCAGTGCCACATGGATGTAACACTTATTGTGACAGCAGTAAAACAATGTAGTAATAATACATAAAAATTTGTATTTAAGTAGATCATATTTGAGAAATTCAAATTTTTTCATCCATGCAATATAAGCACTAACTGTAATATTATGTATACTTAAAAGTGTATTCAAATATTAAAATACAAAAAAATGTTTGACTCTTTTAACTTGAAAATAGAGCTTGCCAACCTAAGTTTACTACTCTATGCACCACAATGCTGGTTAGTACAGTAGGGTAAACCTAGCTAATGGTCACTGAAATGTAAAGGGTAAATACCTACTTGACATAATCCATACTCAATACATAAGTGGCTGCCGAATTAAGTAAAGTGCATTCTGGGTCCTGCCCTTAAGTGCGATTGCAATGACAGGCACAAATCTATCAAAGAAAATATGATATGTCATCATGAAATGTCAATAAGACTGCATATAAGGAGATTGCATAATACATCAGAACACCCAGAAGGGCTTCGATGAATCAAATAATCAAAATGATGACTTAAGCAAACTTCCCAGAACTTCCAAACAACTCAAAACATTTGAGCATCAAGTGCAGCTACATCCACATAGTGCGTTTCATATATAATATACAATCAGCATAGACAGATGTGCTTTGAGAGACATACAGCTGTATCACTCCAGTAACAATGACAAAAATCCATCCGTACATTTCACAGGCCTGTAACCAGCAATTTCAGATAGGGTTCTTTTTATGAAAAAGTGGACCTCTTATATTTCTTAGGCTGCATTCTGAACAGTGGACTTACTAGTCTGAGGGTCAAATATGGCAATCCACTAAAAATCTTGCCATCTAATCTGCTTAAAGACACTGAATAGATTCCCTGCTAGGAAGCATTCGAGTGGTTTGGCCATATTTGACCCTTGGACTAGTTAGTCCACTGTTCTGAATATGGCCTTAGTTGACCCAACTCGAAAAATAGCACAGAACCTAAGATCAAATTTTGGTTCAGAGTGAATTTTTTCAAGCCAAAAATGTGCTGACATTGTTTCCTGCATGCCTATGGGCCTGTGTCATGACTATGGTGATCATCCAAGATAACCTAAAAAGAGGCTGTCGGCAAGTGGGGTCACTTTTTAGCAATAAGGGTGTAATTCTATGCTCCCGAAATAATGTCTAAGACCCCATTCCCACAGATTTTAGAACGCTCTATCCCTGTGGGGAGTCTCACTAGATTACTGTCAGCTTAGCCGGCCTAAGCGTCTGTCCCGCCTACTAAAAGCTGTAAGGGGGTAATTAACTGTCGTGCGCGCTCGGCTGACTGCAATTTAGTGTGAACCCCCAGGGAGTTAGGTCGATCCACATAGATCGATCTAAATCTCTCGGAATGCACTCTTAGAAAACAATGTGACAGAAAAAGGTGAATACACACTATAGTGCAAAAGAGCCGAAGAGAAAACCACCAGAAAATTACACAAGGGTAAATTCTGCAAACTTATTTTTTGTTGTCGCACTGCACTCACAATTCTGCCATTACTTCTGACCCCACTTCCTTCCAACTCTTGCAAAATCTCTTTATTTTACAGTAATTTTGCAAGATTTTAGGTTATCTTGGTTGATTGCCATCAACACTCTTCTCATTTACTCTGCTTCTTTAAATGTTCAACATATGTTTTGATGAGTTCTTCTTGCTCCACAGTTTCAATGGAATGAGGCCTCAATCGCCGTGTTTCTTCGATAGCTTGTTGCCCTGTCAAACCATGTTCTCTGGCAAGATAACATGCAAGCATTGTACCCGTTCTTCCTCGGCCCAACATGCAGTGCACTGCCACTCCCTGGAAAGCATTGCCATAGTTACTGTCTGACAGAATGTTAATTTTTGCATTACTAATTTTATTTTCAGTTTTATATTTTCTTGCCTAGGTTAATTTGAAAAATCACTTGTTATCATACTGATATAACTTCAATTGCTTTTGTGTTAAAGCAATATCAGAAACAAGAATATATGCAACTGCAAACTAAAAGGATTCAGCACCTGGTCATTGATTTTGGCAGAAACACAAACAGTGCTGCTAACATGCCTTTAAATAAGCATCACATAATCCCTTTTACAGGCACAGGGAAAGCTCTGACGGTATTGCAGGCTCAAGGGTCTGCTGAAAGCCAGACATTGCAGGCATTGCCAAGATGTTCTTCTGATACACTATTCATACATAGCACTGAGATCACATAAGCAATTTATAGGTTTTCCTTTGCCAAAAATTCATTCTTAGAAAAATTTAGAAAAAAATTGGAGAGCATTATGATCACTGAAAATGTATGTACACCTTAGATTGGCAACTTAGAAATGATGGCCAGGCCCTTAAATTCAAATTATTTTTTTTACTACTGTTTGGTATTGGGTGGAACTTTGGCACATGTAAGTTTCACTATTGCAAATTTTTGTGTAAATGTGCCAGGCAATAGACCAGTCTTTTTATCGCTTAGTTACATCATGCAGACAAAAATCTGTTAAAAACATGTTTGAAATGGTACTTTCAATATGGAAAAAAGATTTAAATGATTTTTTAAAGAAGAAATGCTATTTTCAGAATAAAAAATTAGTTTTTGTTTTAGATATATATTCGAAACAGATGCAAGTCTACCAGAGAGATAGAATAATATAAATTTAGGCTATGTGTAGAAAATGCAATTATGCCTGTAATTCCTAAATTGTGGATTAATTAGTGTGTGCGTGTGTGCAAGCGCGTGCATGTGTGTGTGGGTGTGAGAGAGTGAGAGAGAGAGAGAGAGAGAGAGAGAGAGTATATGCTAAATCAATTTTTGTAAAATCATAAACATAAAGGGCCTTTTCTCATATTTTCTGGCTATGGCAGACATAATTATCTTCAAATCAATTTTTTTCACCCAAAAAGCCATGTTTTTCCATGTATACAACTTGATGTGTATTTGTAGCTACCTCTCCCTTTTGTCTGGCCTCATCCACAAATCGAATAAAATCATCCACCTGGTAAACAGTTGGGGATGTAAAATCTTTTAACTTGATCTGTATGAGACGAAAACCTGAAATAATCAATGTAAATCCGATTAAAAGCAACACAGTGGTATGCATGGCAGCACAACATATGTCTGAATGGCATTTAAATCCAACTAGTGTGACCTTCCTGTGTTTGCAAATCAATTTCTATTATTAAAGTGATAACATCAAATAGAAGCATGTAGATATCTTTACCAAAAGAAAATCAATATGACAAAGGAATCTAATCAACACTATTTACCCAGTTACCTAGTTACCTATTATTACCTGTGAATCCTTGAGTAGGTGGTGTCCTCTCAGCAGTTAGACTGATTAAATGTTTGACACCATTGTCTTTCATGTATTGTATATGAGCAGGGCTAGAAGGAAAGCCGCAGCCAGCCAGTACATTGTCTATCACCCAGGAAAAGTTTGGTGGCTTTTTACTGGCCATGGCATAGCCCTATTGAGCAGATGTGGCAGATCCTAGCCTACAGTTAAAAGTCACATCACATATTATCAACTAGAGACGTGAAAAGTTAATCTAAATTGAGTTTTAGTTCAGAATATATGACATGTATATGATGAGAGATACACGAAATTGATCAATACTTTCTGTGTAAGAGGTTTTTTGTAGTATGCTCATGTATGCCTGCACCTGAATGATCTCTGGCCCACCAGATTAATGCACTGGGGTAATATGCTGATTATGACTATGTAGATGGAATTACATACTCAAGAATGGGAAAAAAGTATGAATAATTATTTTAGCAACTCCTTTGAAATGTCAATCAAGATAACATGATGTTAAGCAAAAGTAGACTGGTTTGAACGCAACTCACGTCACCAATGCTTCTCAGGAATTTACTTTAACATATTGTGTTGGGAACGAAAACTCCTCTCATTGCAACATCATGTGGCCGTATTCTAAAGGCCTGTAGCCAAAATTTTCAATTTTTTTTTTTCTTGGAACTCTCTGGACCTTTCACCCTCTTAGGTGACTCAACTAGAAAAATGGCACAGAACCTAGATCATTCAACACCCCCCTCCCTAAAAAAGAAAAAAATGCCTGAGAGCCTGCTGTATTCCATTTACATTGATCTTAATTCCTCCCATGTGACCACTTCATAATAGTGTGAGACATGTATCATACTTGGTACAGCATAAAGACATTAGTGAAATAAAGAAGATTATTCAAACTGGCATATATAAAAACAGAAGTGAAAAAAATCATAACTTTGCATGTCAACAACTGACTGCATTAAAGGGAATTGAAGTTTTCCATTTCGTAAATTGTTTTTTTACCTAGCAACCAAATCATGTGCCCAAAGCCACCATAATGGATCTGTGTTTTTTCCAGCAAAAAAAAAAAAACATATTTCTGGAGCAAACAGTATATTTCTTTGACTAACCAACCTTTTATACTGTATTTCTGACACTTAACATAACTCTGTAACAAAGTTCCAGGCATTTACCAGTTAAAATATGATCAAAAAGCAGGGGCGGATCCAGAGTTATTTTCTGACAGTCTTCCAAATTATCTTTGTTGATCCATCCTCCATTTTTGACCGTCTTCCGACAGAAAAATTTAGATACCCGTCAATGTAAACTTGAAAATCTGACCGTCTTCCGGAAGACCCAGAAGACGCCCTAAATCCGCCCCTGAAAAAGCATTACTTGTCCTCTACTTATTTCAACAAGAAGTCCATTATGTACTTAGTATGTGTTTGAATTTCTATGCTTTGTCATTAAATATTCACATAAAATTTAGTTCTAAAATGTAGATAATTCAAAGCTGATCAATCTAAACTTTTTTTTTTTGCTAACAGTTTCACATCCCAGTGGTTTCAAAGTATTACCCAATGGTTTACAATCATAACATGTAAGCCTACTGGACATGACATGACCCTGCAGATGTTTGAGCATCTGCAGTGGAGGCTAGAATTTGCCTTTCAGCACTCTTTTCAAATGTTGATTTTGTGCTCATTCATCCTTGAAACAATGTTAAATTGAAGTTGTATGGACTTTACAGTTACCAAAAAAGGAAGCTTTAATCTGGGAATAAATCTACTTTAGGACCTTTTTTTCGTGGCTCATTTTGGCCAATTAGGTTGAACCTTCTTGGATACATTCTTGATAAATCTGAACAGCTTGGAAACAAGTGTAAATCATAATGCATGAAACTACTTGCTACATATGCTTAATACAATGCAATAGCGTGACAATATTTGAACACTCCTTGCAATTTAGTCCACAGTGCACTGGTACATATCACGAGATTAAATGTTCAAAAGTGTACACTACTAATTTAGAAGTTAAGTGTAAGTCTTGATAAGTACCAGTACAGGTACATGTACCAGCTAGTACAGTAAGATCTACTGGGTAGTCTAAATATGAGGCAAGCTTGAACTGTTCAAGTTTAGATGAAACTACAAAATAGTGCTTGTACTTACCCGAAAAAATGCAAAATTTTAAAATGCTAATGGTATCTCCATGAGGTAGATGTTCTATAAATGCGGGGCAATACAGCGCGGAACTGCATTCCTTGCTTCACTAACTTTCGGAATTGCTCTCTCCATGTAAGCCCAAAATAGTTTTTTGTCCAAGCGTACTAATTCTCCGACGATTAGATATCTCTTTCCTTAAATGAAAATGGCCTGAAAACCAAGGTGGACATATTTTATATATAATCGTAGACACGTATAGCTATTTCGCAAAATTAAGTTTAATTATCATGCACTTTAGCTGTTTTTAATTAGTAATGGTTTGGGTTTATGATACACCGGCGTCAGGTCAAGGTCATTGCATTTCCGCATTGGCTCGGATTACAATCGATGATCAGAATATGGTTCAACTCGTTTTTCAGAAAAGTTGAATCAAAAACTAGGTGGAGAAGTCTTATTATCGAAAAAATGGATCTGAAAGGGCGTATAGTCATTTATACCATAACAGGTTGCCCTCACTGTTTACGCGCCAAGTCCAAATTACGAGAACTAGAACTGCCGTACACGGATGTCAATTTGGATAATTTCCCACAATGTAGAGAGCCACTCGCGGAGAGGACTGGCAAGAACACAGTGCCGCAGATCTTTTTTAACGCAACACATATTGGCGGCAATGATGATTTTCAAAAGCTTGTAAGTAATGATGCAAGGCCCGTTATTAAACTACCTGTATGTGCTTGATTTAATGGCGTTGTGTGTGGTTCGTAGAGAGGAGAGGGAGGGGCGCAGACGATAGTTCTACTGCAGAACAGTAAGTCGGTATAGATGTAATTTGTGGTCTTCTTGACCAAACAGCCAGGCAGGTAAGATATGTGTCTTAACTTAGTCTTGGCAGCCCCCCCCCCCCCCCCAAGACCCCACCCCACCCCACCACCACCACCACCAGCAGCAGCTAAATTACAGCTTAATTTTTACTTTGGTAAACTTGCAGTTTTTTCCCTGCCTTCTGACACGTACCTGTTTGAGAGCATATGTGCACAATTATGGTCAGACTCCATTACCAACATTACACTAACCAAACTGAGTACTTGAAAACATACCCACTAAACAAGATCTTTTAGATTCAGAAACCCAAGTCCAGCAGCAACCAATCTTCCTGTTTGTATTGTACAGTTTGGCATAATAAATATATATATATTTTTTAAATAGTGTTTTGTGCTAATATGAATACCTATCTATTGTCTTTAGAGAACTATACCCCATCTGACAAGGCAGTAGTTACTCTTCCAAATATATAACGGGTGGACAGAGGCTGTCTTCTGGGTCTTCTGGAAGACAGCCAGAATTTTTTAAGTTTACATTGGTGAACATCTGTTTTTTTTTTTTTTTTTTTTTTTTTTGTTGGAAGATGGATTAACAAAGATATCGGTAATTAGGGAGACTGTCAGAAAATACCTGCCCCTGTATAAAGTAAATGAGACTTTTAATTTCCGTGTCTCTCTTTCTACCCCCCCCCCCTCCAAAAAAAAAAAAAAAAAAAAAAAAAAAAAAAAAAAAAAGAAAAATAAAATTTTTTT